GGGGCTCCTGGCATCGCTACTAGGAGCAAGGACGCTACTAGGGGCTCTCAGATCATGAACCTCAATGAACCCTGCAGGCCCTGCATGCAGCCTGGCTCGCGAATGATTGGGTGTCTTTGGCGCCGCAGCTTTCTGATCGGATGGTGTTGATCCTCCAAAGCAGAACAAATGACACCACCCAAAACAATCAACAAAAGGTTGGGGTCTACCGAGTTCTACTTCCACCTCTAGGCACGGCTATACTCTCCTCCGGCCGGGTTCGTCGTGCAAGACCAAGCCTTCAAGACAAGGGAACAAGAAAGCATCGCAGTATCTCTTCCACGTACATGCCCTTGTTGTGCTCAAATAGGACTTTGTCTGCAATAGCTTTCCTGATATTGCTACTGTGAGACCATTGCATAGTTGGTGTTCTATTCGTCAAAGTGACCTGTAGGGCTCTCTCTCGGAGCTATAAAACAATTAGGACGTTGAAGACTCACCGCCTCATCCGCCGCGCTTCAGGCGGCTCGTCCGAGGGCCGTAGCACGGCCCATGCCAAGGGCATGCTGCCAGGATGCGTTCCTCGCAAAGGGCCACTAAAACACTATGAACAGCCACTGTTGATTGCTGCTTGTCATGTCCGTGTCAAAATAGTAGAGGACTTTGTGTATGGTCCAGTTCTAGTGTCTCAAGCCTCATTGCAACCATTGAAAGTAGGAACCCATAAGGTCGTAGCTACACCGCAATAAAAATTAAGAATAAAGTATTGACGATCACAACCAGAAAAGAATAGCACACAACTGCTCGTGCCGTTAAGGTTATTGCAGTCAGTCTGTGATTCTTCAATCGACCATCGCCAGTCCTGTTTTTGCGACCTCATCGCCCAGCTGCTCGGCCTTCATCTTGATCCTGGACAAGGCCTGAGAGCACTTGGAAGAAGCCGAGTTGCGTACCATCTGTGGTGGACACGGTGAAGCGTGACCGCTTGCCTTCGTGTGTTCTCCCTAGCATTGCCAAAAGCTAGAGGCGACCACTTCTGGAACTGATGCAGCTGTACCACAAGATACTTCAGTGTCCGATGCAGCTGTGCCACGGCCACGGCTGGTTCCTCTGATGTCTGAGCAAGCCATTTCCGCTTTCCTTTTCTTGCATCAGTCTCCTGAGTGGCGGAGACTAAGGGCAAGTAGCTCTGGTCACACAACCAAAATTGGCCACAAATGAAAACGGCAGGCAGTTCATAACAAGCTAAGCTGGCAAGTTCGGCATTAAGACATGAACTTGAACCGGCCTTCGAAGAGACTTAAGATCCAAAAAATACACACACAACACGAAGCACGGCGCAAGGCATTTAATACCAATTAATTTGAATATGTCATAATATGTCATCAACAAATGTCTCAGGATAATCACCCCACAAAAGTCACCTTTCATCCACACCGCCACTGAACTCGGCACCCGAAGCCTTTCACATGATCACGCTGTGGTGCATTGAACGTTTCCGCACATTTAAGCCATGCTTCTTGCTTCACATTGGGTACTGCTGTGGGGAGTGCAGCAAGTCTTCCATTGGACTCTTGAGGAGAGCCCGGAGAACCAACCTCCTGAAGCGCGTACAATTCCACTGTGCCTCATGGATTCAATCTCCATTAGAGGCCTGTAGATGAAACACCAATAAATCAGAACCTGATAAAATACCTCTCAGTTCAGCATCTCAGACTTGAAGCACCCAGTTTTGCTCGCAAGACATCCTTTTTTGACAACTTAGGCCTCCGAGTGGTCCGCGACTTCATCTTCGAGAATGATGCTTTCTCTTCCTGGAATTTGTTCAAGACTGGTGAAATGGCAAGATAAAGACGTCTTGGATGGTCTTGCATGGCATTAGAACTATCCCACCTGCTTGAAGAGATTGAGAAAACATCTGGAACAACTTCTGTCCGACCTGCGAACCAAAATTAAGGACTGGCCTCAGCCGCTCTACATCTCTTCAAGTATCACTCCAAAATCACATCATGAGCAAGTTTGGACTGAGTTGTTTGATCAAGTTTGCACCTTCGGCGTGGTGGCAACGCCGGGTGCGGCACATGGCAAGGACAAAGACCAAGATTGCAAGCAAGTGTTGAGAGGTTTTGGAACATGTTTGTGAAGTGGGCTCGCAACACATTCCGGGCGTTCAACGTTGTTGTAACATAAGTGTGCTTAAGGCATTTGACTAGTCTCTCAAGTCTGATGTAAGGACATAAACAGCATCAGTATCGAATTCCAACTGAACTTGGGGCCAAGAATTGAGGACACGTTTGCACAATGATTGTGGAGAGTCCTTCGACTGTTGATTCCATTGTCCAAAAACACAACGATCTGATTCTGTGTGCAGTGAGATCCCTGAGGACTTGACTTTGAGAGAGCATTCATGACCTTTCGCGCCCCGCATTTGACCCACCCTGGATCCGGAACCGATCCGCAATACCTAGTGTTGCTTCTCCTGCACCTGTCAGCTACAAAAATCAGAAACTCCTCGTCAGACTCCAGGTTGTTTTCGGCTCAATCAACAGTCGAAGGATTGGCAAGTTCGAACTGAAGGACTTGGTGTAAGTGAACTGTAAGCACTATGTGCTTGGAGGAACCCTGCGATCTGAGGACTTGCCTCAAAGCGCTGCACCACAAAGCGACACTCCAAGCAAAAACCTTGGCGTGTCGTTGAGCAACAGCGGCAAAGAACGCAACCCACAAGAGCCTTGTCAGGAAGCAAAGCACAAGACAAAAACAGCAGCTTTGGGGCTTTCCATAAGAATCTATGTGCAGTGCAATGTGAAGGAAAGCTCTTGCTAAGAAGTCACCAAGTGGACATGTCCTTGCTTTCGTGGCACAAGCTGCCAGTATTAGTGGACCCTTTCGATGGAGCTACGCCAACGTCGCTTCGAGGTGATTCGTGGGAGAGCTCTGGTCACAAGGGGTGCCAGCTACGCAAGATACGCATATCCCCACCATCTACAGTATATGCACTATTGGCAAGGTGTCCTTTGATCAGCTTTCATGGGTTCTGCACCTGCACCACCTAATCTTACTAATCTTCTTGTCTTTGCAAGAGGGAATAGTAGGCTTGTCTACTTTTTTTTTGCAAGAGGGAATAGTAGATAAGGCATTCCAGGCCTTGTCCTTGAATTGCCCTCACCTGGCCCTGTGCTGTGGGGACTCCTCAGTATGTAGAGATGTGGAGTCTGTGGTGATTTCGTTGTGCACGCTTAAGCGTGGCAAACTGGAACCTTGATCTCAAAGCATCAAGAACTCTGGCCGAGCAACCTGCAGCATTGCTCTCACATTCCGTCGTTGCGTAGACCATGACCGCGTCGTGTCGCAGATGCCTTGGACCGGGACCGACCGTGACCAGTGCCGACGCCGGGCGCCCCACGGTGTGGCCTTCGGGTTCCCGCCTCCGGGCCATCTCATGCGTACGCCGCGGCCACGTGGCGCTGAAGAAGCCCAGCCTCAGTGCGGACGCGGAGGCGGCCGCGTTTGGCGGACGCGACACGCGGACGCGAGGCGACGCATTGCTTCCATGGTGTTTGGTGGTGTTCATGGTCTCTTCATAAAAGGACCCTGCACGCGATTCTTGGGCATGAAGTCCAGCACCGTCCTTGCCTGCACTGTTCAGGTCCGGATTCGATGGGCTGAAGATTTGGCTGAAGATGCAATTGTTTCACAGATACACAACACATTTTTTGCACACAAAAGAATGGTTTTGAGTGGATGCACAAAGGCCACCAAACCTTCACTGGAACCGCCTTGCAGCTCATTCCCCCCCTTGTGAATCAAGAACAATTGGTACGTTGCGTGTTACATGTTCGTTCTCGCAATCCATGTCCATCCCTGGATCCCTGGTGGATCCACAAATAGGTCGTCGTCCTGCCTGTGTGCCTTCATCGTCGCCGTCCTGCAGCCACGATGACTTGCGTCCTTCGGCTTCGCAACAAGGCGGCTGTCCTTGATAATGTCGTCTGCCTCGTCAAATATGATCACAACGTCCTGTCAAAACACTCCGCCAAACTGTGCCAGCTCCTCTTGTCTCTTCAAACTGTCATTCGGAGAACTACTCTACTTGAGCGAGAGATGAACAATTGGGAACTTCGTGGCAACTCTCACAGATAAAAAAGAGCCGATTTCCTCGACTTGCATTGCTATCGTCATATACTCTGGAATGCAAACAATGTTACTGATTCTAGTTCTCTTCCGAGCGCTAGCAGTGAGCCCGTTTCTGCCCTTCCAATGGTGTCCTTTGACCAGGACAACTTTGTACAAGCTAAGAAATCAGTAGGCAGCATTTCTCCAATTGGCTGGTAGCTGCTCGGCGTCATCAGAGGCGTTTGCAGGGACAGGGAATCATGTGTAAATGCGATTGCTACTTTGGACAAAGAGTCTTCCAAACGACTGGCGGAACTCCTTTCGATCTATCAGTTGATGGGTTGCGCCCTCCCTATGCACCCGCCAAAGCTAAGCCTGTTGCGTGGTTCATCTATGCCACCAAGAGCAATATGCGACCGATGCTTTTGGTCTGTTTCACCCAGTCTCAAAAAAGTATGGGGTGGCATCAGCATCGTAACCTCCTCGCTTGATGATCTCGACCCAGTAACCATCCGGATCACGAGCAAATGCAAGGCCTTCCAGGCAAAAACAAACATGGATAAGGCACATGAAAGACTGATTTCCTGACGGGCCTTCCTTCATGACCTTTTCAGAACAAGTACGACACAAAATTCTGGGCATCCGTACCTTTCATGGAGCCAGCATCTGGCGCTTTTTGCATAGCATAACCAGCCTCTTCCAGCTCCTTGCAAGTCTCATAAACCTTAGCCAAGGGAGGGCGACCCATGTCTGCACGTGATTTACATGAGTCATGTTCGTTTTTCGGGGGAAGTCCAAGCCATCCACAGTAACCGCAGCTGAGAAGCATCATCAACCAAGAAGCCAACATGTCCAAATCCTTTTCGTTCAGCTTCGTTTCCATTGTAATGCTGAAAATCTGCATCATTCTCGGTACCATGATTGTGCGTGAGCTCCAGCACAGGCCGGTCATCCGGAAACTCAGTTGCTCCCTCGGGAATGGTGCCCAAATAATAGAGGGAGAAGTCGTCGTAGTCATGGTGAGTCAGCAAGGTCATTCCCATATGCTTGGTGTAGAAATCAAGTGACTTTTTCGGGTCCTTCGCATCAAATCATATGGAATCCAAATACATAGAGTGTACAATCAGAAGTCTTCAAAAAGCTGTTATGATTTGTCCATAGAATAGGCCGCCTAAACTCAAACCCTCAAACCCACTACCAGTAGCAAATCCAGCAAACACCTGCAGCAAACACCTGCAGCCAAACGCCTGCTAAAAACAATCCTTGATCACCCATCTCCTTCACCCTCAGCATTGTTTGGGCCAGGGTGTTTCGGCCCTTCACACCACCTCTGAGCAGCTCCACCCAGTAGCCATCTGGATCCAAGGCAAAAGCCAAGCCTTTCATCCTTCCTTCATCTAGCTTCTTCCTCAGCTCAAGCACTACATCTTGGTGTCTTGGAGCAAGCACCAAAGCGGCAAGCTCACAAACTGACAATCAGCACATAGTAGTTGTTGCAGAAAACTCAATGTTGTCTTGGTCAATGCACTGTTGGACAAAACACAAGAATGAGTACCGGGTATGTCAGGTGATTAGAAGACATCAAAGGACAAAGTCTTTGAGGCGTGAGTGAACGTACCGCCAAAATACGGTAAAAACAGTGATGCGCATGGCGGTGCCAAGCCAAGCATTTCCCTTCTTGGCCAAGCCAAAGCTCTGAAACTTCACGCCAGACTTCTGGAGCTCATCACTAAACTCATAGACATCGTGCACCGAGAAAGCAACGTGACCAAATCCATCCCGCCTCACAAAGCATCCAGTCTACTAGCATCAAACCCCTCACGAAAGCTATGGAGTTAGCCCAGTGTCATGTACGCACCTTGATGTCACTGTTGATCTATATACAATGTATATACGAACAACTTTGAGTATTTGAATGCCGATCCAGGCACTTGTTACCTTCTTGTGGCTCATTCCCAGGATGGTAAATTGCACCAGCTTCCTTTTCGCTGCCATAATTATGAGTAAGCTCCTTAGTTGCAGCTCCCGTTTCTGCGCAGGTGGCTGTGATTGGCAGTGAGTCACTGCAAGGCAACTCCCACTTGTGGGAATGCGCAGGTGACCCCTTGCCATGCATGTACATGTTGCTGAGACTCTGTCGCTACTGTTTGTGTGCGTGTACATGTTGCTCACTGGCATGCCATCTCCACAGCTCATCTGCCCAGTCGGTCACACACACACACAAACTCTGTGCTCATGTCCAGTGTTGGCTAAGATCGCGTCCAGTGTCGTCCCGGGGAAGGTCCACAGGTATTGATGTGCTTCTGATGTTCCGGGCTCTGGTGTCTTTTCTTCTGCAGGAACAGATGCCAGAAAGTAGAGGGAAAAGGCCATGCTTTCAAAGTCCAGCTTGTCGATTAGCCTGGCTGCCATGGAGTCTGCCAGTTTTGCAGATGGCTTTGCAACTGTCTGTCTGTTCCAGTCAAGCAACCTCATTCCCATCTTGTCTCTGTAAAAGTCCAGGGATTTCTCGGGATCCTTGATGCGCAGCATGCTTTGTTGCCAGGATGGCTTTGCTCCGACAGAAGTTCGAAACCGCCGTGCTGCGACACCAGCAATCGCTGCACCAACCTCAAATGGCTTGATAAAATCTTGGGCCCTGCTGGTTGGATCAAAGGTTTTCACATGTTTCAACATTGAAGGCTTGGTTGTAGGTGATTCTGCTGGGCTTATACTCCACAGCTCTGCAAAGTCTTTCAGGTCACCCCAAATCTGTGAAAAGAAGGTAGACAAAAAAAGAATGAATAAAAACATATATAACTATAACCGTTCCTCTGTCTCTTCAGCGCACAACTGTGCTCCATGGAGTTGACCCAGAGAGTCTTGTGCGGAGCGGACTCCGTTGTGGAGTCGGCAAGACAGCCCAGGGTCGCGGCAGTGACGGTGCGCTCAAGGCCGCAGTCAGCATGGCACCACGAATCAGGGCAGCTGCTTGCTATGTCTTTCAGCTATGAACCAAACTTTTGATTGTCATGAAAGTTTCATCCAAAATGTACTGTAACAGGTGAGTACAAATGACTTCATCTACTACTACAGTAGGAGGACGGAAACAGGCAGGACAAACAAGGTCAGACCAATCCAACATCCAGCATCCAGCACGGCTTTCTTGGAAGTGATCTATGACTCGTCCTATGACCACTTAGAGAACTCCGAGCAGTTGGGCCCAGGACTGGCTCACGGGCTTCGCTCGCTTCACTCGCTTCGCTCCTGGTTCAGCGCCACCAGATCCTCATCCTTCCCAAGCGCCCAGGACTGGCATTGAAGCTGCCACGGTGTCAGGACCAACACACCAGCCTCGATTCAGCTGAGCTGTGCAGACCATCTCAAAATGGCAAGTATTTAGTATTGGTGTTTGGTGGTATTGGCTAGTGTCTGGTGGACAGGGGGCACAGGATTTGGGCTGACCACTCTGTTCCCGAAGATGAATCACATCACGAGCGCTGGAAAGCGAAGACTCATCTGCATTCAAGGAACCCGAGACAATTCCTTCTCTTGCGCCTCTGCACCTATCTCAGCTGTACCTGCAGATGAACTTGGTACAGGAAGTAATGGAAAACCAGCACCCATCGTGTGAAATGCAGGAGACCTTCACTCTTCAGTGCGTAAAGCGCGTGGCCTCCAGCCACCTGCACCCTTCCTGCGCTGGCGAGCGGCTTGATCTGCTCTTGCACCTGCCCAGCGGATGGGCGGCTCATGGGGGTGCCATCCAAACCCATGGGGCAAAACAGAAAAAATAGAATAACACATTCATGAGAAAGAAATATATATCTATATTTTAATAGTAATAGTAATAATAATATCCCACCTATCCGCAATCCCCCACGGTTCAGTCAGATCATCTTTTTTCGAGAGGACCAATTCCACGGCTTTGAACCTCGATGGGACCCGAAAATTCGTCGGCCTGCTGCGCGACCTCCGAGGTTGGCACAAGGATCACCCCATCCGGTGGACGCTGGCGCCATTCCTGCCAAGCCTTTTGTTGCCACCAGTCCGGCTGTTCATGCCTCGCACCTGTCAGAAAGCTTGCAAATCGTGAAGATGAAGTTGAGGTGAGAAATTATGCCAGTCATGCCTTGTAAAGCCGCTGCACGTATGAGCAGCGGCACGGCATACGCCAAAGTCTTTCCGCAACCCGGCTCTGCGATTGCCACCACATCCCGATTGGTCCTTGTCAGATTTGTGTCGTTACTTTCCCTCTTCCAAAACCTTTACTCAACCAGTCCTGAGTAGTGGCCACGTCACTGCTTGAAGAGGTGTTGGCTGGTTCCCAAAGAGTGGTTTCCGGATCCATTCTGGAAGACAGGCCGCTTCCAAAGACCAGGTTGCGCCAGGGAGCCGGAAACCTCCGTCCTGACGCTCATTTCAACTGTCTTCTTGCGAGCAATCCATGGTGCATCAAGCTTTGCAAAAAAATCAAACTCGAAAAACAGCGAGTGTCCTCCAGCACGGACACACCAAGCCGCCGCAGATTCACCTCACCAGGGTTTAAGTGCATCAAAATGTAAAATGTGTTTTTCACCAAACGAGGGCAAATTGCGAAAGACAAGTTGGGTCAATGAATTGAATCTAGAGTAGTGTTGCCTGCACATCATGAGAAGTCAGTGTAAATACTTGCTTACCCACCGTTCCTTCTAAAGGGGGCCCTTTTCATATCCATCGGCACATCCAAGTGTTTTAGGCTCGTAGCAAGCAACCAACCACCCTTTGATCCACTCTTGCGACGAGCTTCTTTCTCTTGTGAGTCGTTCTCGAAGGGCAAACTCGGGTGCTCCACATAGCCCTCGAAGCGCGATTTGGTCCTGCGCTCAACCCTGAGAATTAACGGGCCGGATAACGCCGGATAACCCCACATGTGCAGACTTAGTTACAAACGAATTGCGTGAGTGGAGCTGAAGTGAGAAAGATGAGTTGAGTTGAAGTATGTAGTTGTGTGAATTGAGGTGAGTTTGCATGAGATGTGAAAAAATGATCAGCTGAGATGAGGCTTCCATGAGTCGTCCCGCAACGCAGCCGCACGCCGCATTTACACCACCATGCTTTATCGTTCCCCCAATGGCACGGACACACGCAAATGCACTGTCCACCGAGGCCACGCAAAACCGCATGGCACAGCGTCATCACAGTCGTAATTTCGCCACGCAGTGTGCCACAGACTAGATACGTACAATGTAACATTGAGCATCGTGGACAACGACCACAGCGACCACAGCGACCAGAACGGATCGGGAGCTACAGCACAGCCTCTAAGAGCCAGTGAGTTGAGTTGTGTGAGTTGAGTTGTGTAAATTAGGTAGTGTGAGTTGGGTTGTGTGAGTTGAGTTATAGTTATATATGTGAGTTGAGTTCTGTGAGTTGAGTTGTGTAAGTTGAGTTGTGTCAGTTCAGATGTGTGAGTTGAGTTGTGTGAGTTGAGTTGCGTGAGTTGAGTTGCGTGAGTTGAGTTGAGTTGTGTGAGTTGTATGATATGATATTTGTGAGTTGTATGATATGATATAACTTGAGGAGGAAGGAGGGAGAAAGGAGGGCAGGAAAAAATACAACATAGATGTGGGGAACAAGTATATAAGGTAACTTGGGCAAACATATATCATATACTGTAGTTACTGTAGTCTCTTTTCTTGATCTCTTTCTTGATTATTTCACGACCGGTACCTTCCATCTCCACTTCGTACTGGGCCCAGTCGTGATGTCACTTGAGGACCATCTTGAGGCTCTGCTTCAGGCTCACTGCCAGCCGTAGGCAATTCCGTTTCAAGTTTCTCCATGCATAGGCCGAATGACTTGGCGCAGCTGAGCAAGGAGGGTGTGGTGTTGAGTGTGTTCATGTGTTGGGTGGGGTCTGCTGCTTGGGTGGGGTGTTCAAGTGTTCGTCATAATGCCTCTTTCTCAGTTTCTCAGGGATCCTGCAAGGCAAGCACATCTCCAATGGTCCGCACTTCTACACTTCTGACCTGAAGCCCAAAACCATGACAATTGCATGGTCTTGCGTTGCGCTTCTGTAATTTTGGGATGAAGAGCCTGCTCGCTGACTTGCCCAACGCAAGCTTTTTAGCCTTTGCCATTTGGTTTGAGTAGTCTGTTGGATGTGCACTCTCTCTTGGGCAAGTAGAAACGGGAGCTGAAATGACTAGTCCTCCAAAAGAAACCACTATGTGCAAATGGTTGGCCTGGTTGGCTGTGATATCTAGGGAATCACAGCACTTACGCGGAAAAATCAGCCAATTCGTGGTCGTCGCTTTGATGTTTCAGCACAGGACACCCCTGCTCCAGCATACTTACTGTCGTGATTGCAGCACACAGGTAGATTGGTGGTGCTGGCACAAGGAAGCACCTATTCCTTAAACCAGATTTCCAGAAATATGAAGAAGGGGTGTCCAGACCTTTCAAACGACAACCGAAGAACTCATATTGTGTCCTCATATTCCGAAGAACTCTTGCTCCTTGCTAGACTGGACAACACGATATCAAGCTGAATTTGCCCTTTCAGTTTAGGATTGGGTCAACTGTGCTTTATGTATCTTGAAAATAGAGCTTCGTTCAAAAGGAATTGATTGAAGCGGAGCAACAGTGAACCAAGATTGAGTGTGGCAAGTCGGGGTATCAAATGCCCGAGATGTTTGAGCCTCTGGAAGATCGCCCAACTGCGGCTGAAACTGTCGGTTCTACCGGGATCTGGCACAGCTTGCCGCAGCTTCCTCAGTGCAGAGGCTTCATAGGCCGCTCAGCAATGCAATCGACCAATCAGCGGTGAAAATAGACACGAGAAGAGCGAAGAGAAGCACTTGTGCATCGCACCAGCGGCTGTGCTCTGAAAAACGGGAGAGACAGGAAGACCAGGCTGTCTTTCTGTTAGTCTCCCTGGATCTGAAAATGCAGGTCACTTTTTTGAAGTTCAAGCATGTGCATTAGGTATGTATTCACATATATCATTGGTTCAGCTTATATATGAGGATTACATCGATTGGTTCCACGACTGGGAAACTCTAGCTATCTTGCCCTGAACACGTTCATTCAACACACAGGAGTTCCACGCTGCTGTGAAGTATTGTATCACCCTTCACAATTGAAGAAGGTACACAGGCACCTGGAGATATGACTGCCCTTTTGCAGCCCACCTCGAAACATTGCCACACTCCTTAAATACCAAACCAACTTGTCCGTACGGTCTTGCAATATGCAAAACCCATATCACACACTGAAAAGCCATGTCTGCAAACTATATAATGAAAAGCCGTCAAACCAACCAGGCGGTCACGACGGCGTGTTACCACGCCAGAAGTGGCATTCAGGTCACCTCAAACTCACTTATCGCTTCTTCATCTCTTTGACCACAAAACTGCCATAGTTGCTGGCCGTCAGGCCTCAGCACCATCAGGCTAACGCGTTAGCTCAGTACCTCTTTTCTTCCCTGCTGGTCAACGCTTATTGAAACGATCAATTCGGTAGGGCCAAGCCACTTGCAAGCTCCTGGTCACATTGAGAGTTAAGGACCTCTTGACCCCCGAAAAGCACACCACTGCCACTGCTGGATTTCTCTCAATCTATGGGGAGCTCAGAGCTTAGGCTCCTCTGCATTGCTGGCCATGGCATCCTTCAGCATTTGTCTCTCATCGGGGGAGCTGTGAAGCAAGGCGCATTCGACCACGTGGCTGGCGACCTGACAACGCTGGGAAGGGACCAGCAGAAAGAACTCCACCGAAGAGAAGGGGCCACGTAGTCCCTTCAAATGACCAAATGACGTCAATATGTCAATTGGCATTTGAGACCCAACAACAAGGCTCGCTCAACAGGGTGCCTTGTGTCTCGCCAAACGGCCTATGTCATGCCGCATGGCCTCCAAATGCACAGGGTAAAAAGAGGAGCTACAGAGTACAAGGTATACAGGCTGATACAGGCTGCATGCGTTAAATGAAACCCTTTGCAAAGGAGCTAAGCCTCGCAAATGTGCCGCTTTTGAAGCTCGCTACCATGCTCCAGTGTATGCTGGACCACATAGTTTCCTTGAGTGTGATTGATGTCCACTTGAAATAGCTGACAAACGTCCAATTAACTCGCAATACACATCTGTTCAATCCAGGATGCCATATGGGTGTCGGCTCAACCTTAGAGTTTGGCTTTGAAAATTCGACTCTAACACCTTCAGAAAGCATCTAGAGTCGAGTGCCTATCCATAAGACTTTAAGTCCGCCCACCCATGTCGTACCCAACTGACACTCCTGTCGACCTCCGAGTCGCTCCAAGACATCCGCCAAAACCTGTCGCTGGGGAAGAAGTTTCGATTTCGGTAGGGTCAGAAGTGATGAGAAGCCGAAAGCCGGTCGGCGCGGCCTCCTTTGCTATGGGCTCGGTCTGTTCACGAGGACAATGCTCCAGCAATCGCTCAACCACCTTGGAGGACGAGGAGGGCAAGTGGAGGTTAGCGGTGGAGAGGGAGGTACTTCAACTTTTGTCTGTGTTTTCCACTATTCGGCTGATTACATTACAGAAGCGTTTACCTGGTTTACTATATATCTATCTCTAAAAGCATGCGGCTGATTAAGGAAGCAAACTGTGGTATGCTTGTAGCAAAAAGAAGAAAAGTCTGTTCCCTGGAGCGGGCCCACTAGGGAGGCGTGACAAGTCCATTTTCTCGGAGGGAGTCGCAAGCGGTAGTGACTGGCAATCCAGAAAAGATAGATTGCACACGCTCAGCGTGCCACGCGACAGCCGAAAGGATGTCGGGCTGCGTCACCAACTCGTCCTGGTGATGGTTAAGAGCGATGACGGGAAGAGACGCATACTTGGCGCCGGCCCGACCTCTCATCTCCATCACGATGAAGTCCAGCTTCTTTGGGGGTAACAGAGAGATGGCCTTCCGGTGTTGTCCAAAAATATCAGCCTGATATGGAAGAAAGAGAGCATGGAAAGCTGGGCCTTTTGAAGCACATGGTTGGCATGTGGAGACTTCAGTGCTTGCCTCAGCTGATTCAACGGTCGAGCAAGGAGGTCCGCTGGCGCAACTCTCCTTGCTCTGATGAAATCAACGTGCTCCCAGCGCAAGAGTGACTAGACTATAGTGCTCGCACTAAGCTGGAAGTGCACGCAAGAAGATGTCTTCATGCTAATATGAGTGCTGTTTCCTCCATCTGAGGATTCATGACAAAAACCGAATGTTCCAAGCAGTAGAACGTGTGACTTTGTCTGCCTATCTTTCTCTCTTTCTGAGGTACTTCTCTCTTGCTCTCTTGGAGGTGCATTCTGTGCTTTTTGCCTCGCTTCTTAAGTGAAGCTTCTGATACTGATTCATGTGTTGTGTAACCCCGTCACCAGAACCAGCACCGTCACATGCTTTTCCAGAGTATGCATACAATATAACTCTAACATGTTACATTGCATGTGTTCAATCAATGTCCTCCCAACAAAGACCCAAACTGCAAAAAGCAAGCTGCGCCATGGTGGAAGGCAAGGCGTGTGTGGAAAACATCCAGCTTTGGGCCTCTTGACACAAATTTGCGCACAAGCTACCACACTCGGCCCCGCAGCGCTGCGACGATATTCATCTTCTCCGAAAGCTCAGCGGCTTCCAAGGCTGCTTGCACCACACGTGTGCCTTGCTTGGTGATGGCCATTGTCCACCTGGTGGCAAACCCCCAGACAAATGATAAAGCGTTTCAACCACCAACACATCAAACGCCAAAGAGACTCAAATGAGGACACTGAGATCAACACGCATCCTCCGCAACCTGCTTCAACAACCTAAGGACAAAGAACAGTTTGGCACACCTGTAAAGCCTGCGGGGGAGGACGCAAGTTGCACCATGCTCAGCCCGTGGCCTCTTGCGCTGAACAGGGTCCAACCCAGGAGTTTGCAACTGGCGCACAACTGCCTCTGACTCCTTGTTGTTCAACCTGCCACAACTTGTGGCAGGCCAAGCACCGAGTAAATAAACAATACTTCATTAACGCCATCACAAGAAACTTTGAGATCTCATGAGGACACTGGCAGAGATCCAAAATGATTCAATCAATGCTCCATTTTCTCCAAAGGTGTTCCATCCGACCTCTTGGAAGAATCTCACCATTGTCCCCAGAACCCTTTTTTCCTTTTCTTTCGGCCTGCGTGATCGAGCACCTGAGACCGTCGACACCGAAGAGCCCATCTCCGTGGAGATCTCCGACGGCGTGGAGGACCTGACGTTCTTCGACCGCGTCCGACCGCGGGAACCGGTCGCGGAACCGGTGCGGCTGGGAACGCCGATGCAACTGCGAAGCGAAACTCGAAAGCTACCACACTGTTTTCAGCTTCTTTCGAAAGCTCCATAGCGGCTTCATTGCAGAACTGCTTGTAAAGCTTGTGGGAACCCTCATTGATCTGCAGTATATAGGTTTTCTTGGCTGCGCTAATGCTCAAAAGGGACCGTGGCGAACAAGAGTCGCTGAGTTGGACACACTGAGAGAGCGCGGTGTACATGTGGTTGGCTGGAGCTTCGGCTGTCCATCTCCTTCACACAACAAGAAAACAAAATCCCGGATTCGGGTGTCTTGAAATCAGAGACCCCGCAAAGATCCCAGGAAAATGACAATCAACGAAAGACGAAAAACCAGTGGTTGGAGGGACCCCCTATTCTAATGCACACCCATTTCACGAGATTGACTTCTGGACAACACCCTGCCAACCTGCACAAATATTTCAACAGGACGCATAAACTCTGCAATCAAGCTGCAAATTGCGGCTGGGATGGCTGTAGTTGCACGTCACCTACCGAGCTCTTCCAGATTAATTGAAGGACAAAGTTTAAGAATGATTCAACCAAGAAGTGTCTCTTTGACAACTCGCTACTACTACCAGCATCCTCGTTGCATTGTGCAAAATGGTTGTTGTTGGCACAGATCATCCACAAAAAACACTGAGCCTGGTTGCTGTTCAGCACCTGGCCTGACCAGGGAATGGACACGTCAGGCCAAAATGGGTCGTTTAGGCATACAAAGTCAAAGACACAAACCGAAAAAGCTCCGGTTTTTGAACCGGTTCGGAGGTTCGGTTCTGAAATGCAATCATGCTGCACAACTGGCACGACCACAAGCATCATCCCTTCGGGGAAGGATTGCAACGGCAACCTCACAAAGCCGGAAAGGATTCCATCTGACAGCTGTTCGGAAGGTGCCATCTTCTTGCTGCAACGCACAAAAAATCTCTGCTGGGGCGTTGGTGGGTGCCTGCAAACCCTTCATTCATGATCTCCTTCAATCTAAGAGGTTCATATCGCACACATACAATCTGAGCAATGCTAGGAAATTTGCCCAACCCGTTTAGGAGACGCTCATCATATTGCAAAGAAATGCCCCAATGGCAGCCTTGGCTGCTGCTCGAAAGCCTGTTGCATCTGCATCTGCATTTGCTGATTGTAGTTCAACCTCGGAAAATCCAACTTTGATATTCCCCAGCTACCAAACTCTAGCACCAAATCCTTCATATTGATTGGTTATTCGTCGAGGAATGTTTGCTTCTAGGTGTCCAAAGTCCTTGTTTTGACTGAGTACGGGGCGGCTGCTGTGGCTGCTGCACTGCTGGTTGCCAATACATCATTTGCTGCTGTTGCTGTTGCTGGTTGAACTGCACATCGTAGAACTGCTGGAAGTTTGGGTTCTGAGAATTGATAGATGGAGCTGATGCGGGCTGATTGAAAGCCACTTGAGGAAAAGGATTGGGCTGCTGTTGCCCCATGACTTGCTGGTGCCCCATGACCTGCTGAAGGAACTGCATCTGATTCTGCCGTCCTTAGAGGCACGGTCATCGCATGAAAAGCGAGGTATTGAGTTCAGCCATGTACAATTGACTGCATGGTGCTTGTTAATAGTATCTTATATTATATATTACTCCTAGCTTCTTGTTACTAGTAGCGATGCACTTGTTACTAGTATCTTCTTGTTCAGCCATTTGAGTTCAGGGGCCAATCTGATTCAAATGCTCCACAGATTCATCCTCGCTTTCAGTTTGCCAGCCAGCCACTTCTGGTTCTGACCTGGAGGCGCACAAAAGAAAGGTCAAAAGATAGAGTTTAAGCTTCCCTACCTGAAATCTCGTGTCCCTCAAGAACAAGAAAGAGAAGCCAGTTCAGCATGTGTCCAGTGAACAATCTAGCGTCTTGGGTGTCATTAGCCACACTAAGAAGCAAAATGTGTGTGTTGCGTTTTCACAAATCCCGGCGAAAAATAGAGTATATATATAATAAAGAGATGCTTCCACGGCGGACCTATCTCCCAAGCTGTCTTCCAAGGTATAGCTCGATAAGCTCAAAAAAAGCTGACAATTCATCGATCGCAGTGCCAAGCTGGCAATCTAGTACATTTGGATTCCCCATGTCTTGTCCTTTTCACAATCAATCCGCCAAGAACCATCCAAGTGCTGCCAAGATTCTCCACAGGAGGCTCAGTTTCGACAGCCACTGGGGAAACTTGCCTGGTGACATGTGAGATTCAGAGCTCTCAAATCAATCTCACCATAGGATCTCCCCTAGCGCACTATTCAAGCACATGTTGATTCTAGCAAGTTGTAATCCACTGCGCAAGGTCCACATGAGCTCCACCACGCTTCTTCAGACGTGCAAGTCAGTGCAAGTGCCATGAAGATTGCTTCACAAAACAATCTTCTCAGCATCAAAACTGACCAAAGTTTTGACTCTCGACTATTATATTCTGGGTAACAAAACCCTGAGTCTTCTTCAATGACTGTCAAAGAATGCGCCTGTTGGCACGCCGGGGCTGCCTTCGCCGCGGCTCCCGATTCTGGCGGATGTTGTGCCCAACAGCACCAGCACCTACCAGACTCAAAGATCACCAAGTGTATCATGTCATGTCAGTGCGTCTTTTGCCAACACAAAGCATTTCCTTCTATACAAAGCACGCGTGTTTCCCACCGCTTGTAATCAAATATATCCGCGGCTGTTTCGAGAAGTCATAGTTCAGGCAAGCCAATCAAGATTCAAAAACAAATCTATTACCATGATTTACCATGTGCACTTTGATCAGAAAAGGATAGAAAAGGTAGTGTTGAACCGCGTCAAGGAATTGTGCTTGCAGCGTACACGTTCGATGCTTCGTGCTCTTCAACCACGAGTATTCTTGTCAAAGCTTGAACACGGCTCTGCAGCTCTTCGATGGTACTCTATCAATGCTACCACAGTAACAGAGCCGTCCACTAGTCCTGCGCAATTGCTTTTGCAGCGCTTCTCTGTCCCTCTCTCCCTCTCTCCCTCTCTCCCTCTCTCCCTCTCTCGTACTTGTTGGCAAGTTTGCTCTTGCTTCTGGTCGGAAGCCATCCAGGGCTGGTCGGAGTTTTTCCACGTGTTTATCAAAAGAATCGATGGTCCACGGTTGTCACATGCTGCCACAAATTGGGCAGGTTCCAGGTTCAACGACGAAGTGAGTGGAGATGAATCATCCCCCCTCAATATCCCTCAATGAAGTTGTTCGCGCATATAGACCCATTTTGTGCTTGTGACGATCCGAGCAATTTTGTCACACGCCTGATATCAGTCTTTAACTCGAGGATAGTCCTTCAAGTTGGTTGGTTGGTTTTTGTTGGTATGAAGCAGAGGATAGAGGGAGACGTCATCCTGTTAGTTGCGTTTGCTAGAATAAGAGATCTTAGGAATGGAGACCTCTCATATTTTGGAAGTTGCACGCGATGGATAAAGCATGCTGCAGCTTGTTCCGGTGACACTAACAAACATATATATAATGAAAAATGGAGAACGATGTCTGCTGTTTACAAGGCGCTGTCGCTTTACCTGTCTGTACCTGGAAGCATCCTGGACACCAAACCCTGGCTTTGCCAGACTCTCAAGCATGATGCCACAAGGAGTGGGAACCTTTTGAAGAAGTGCCGGGGGGGTAGGCCGCAGAGGTAGCTAGGTAGCGAACATAGAAGAGGTAGCGAACGACGCAGGTTAGCGAAGACGCTTCTTCAAGGAAGCTCCCGCCCCCTGCCTGAGGGCGGGGAGGGAGCTCCTTTGAAGAAGCGCTCGCACTAATCATTTGGTGCCTAGATCTTTAGGGAAACTTAAACTTTCAATCAAAAGATTCGTGACCGCCTGCCACAATACAAGCCCATAGGCTACTTGACGCTTGGCCAGAGGCATGCATTGTGGGGGCCTTGGTCCCAAGAAGTGAAGAAGAGGGGCCTTTCAGAGCCTTCCGGAGCATTCCTTCAATGTATTTTTCTTGGATCACATCGAGAGCTGTTCAATGAGTCCTTGCTGTTGCATGATGTTGCTCTCCAAAAACAAACGTGTCGTTGTCCTGAGGCGCTGACCAAATGGCCCTGCACCACGCTAGAAACTGGAGCAGAGGCACCCCATGGTGCAGGTAGTCCGACGGCCTCAGGTAAAAATCTCCGACTAAACGAGGGTTGCACTATTAATGGTCTTAGACTCCAGTAGGAAAAGACAAGACATTGCACTACTAAAACGCCAGTGCAATCTCTCGCGCTCTCTCTCTCTCTCTCTCTCTCTCTGAATCTAAGAACCAAACTGCAAGTCCTTGAGCCACACCATGATGCTTCTTGCTTGTGCTCTGAACTCCAGCTGGTGGCTTGTCCTCACGTGCCACATCCAAGTTTGACCAGTATCACATCTTATTACACTGCGGCGCTCCTGCGGTGATGCTGCTGCAGGCCCAAGTAAAGCAAGCGCTAATGCCACATGCTTTGCACACAGCTTTGACGCAGACGCCATGAGACTCCTCAGCTTGCAGTTGCAAAAATAAAAACGAGCGATATTGGTGTTGAGCACCAATGTGCTTGCATTTTGGAACGCCAACACAATACCACCAAAAAAAGAATGTGCTGTACGTCTGATCTGCTTTGAGTTCAGAACTTGGTCCAGAGTCTCCTCAAATACCTGAGCAACAATTCAGACCTGGACTTTTGTGGCCTTAGAGCTTGCCTTCAAGGCCATTCCCGGAGTCTGCGGGAAGCTAACAATTTCCCTGCTAAAATCTAGGTTGGGAATTTGATACGCTTTCCTCCCAGGTTGCCTGAATTTCCGTCAAGTTGCAGCCCCCCCTCCACTGGGCCACGGCTCGAGCCGTGTTTCAAGCTGCTGCAGGGCGTTCTAATCCACTATATACAAGTACAGTAGGTGATTTGCCTGAAATGCCATGGCATGAGCTCAAGCTGTTACAACGCAGAGCTCTGACACTCATTTAAGACTCCTTTTCTCCTACATGCGGCACTTGCTCTGTCCAATTGACACAACAGGTCCGCGGATCCGTCGGTCTTAAGCTCTCGACGAGAGCAGCTGTCGCTCTTGGGCCATGTGAGGGAAAAGGGTTCCACAAAGAGCTGCTCCAACAGCGAGGACGGCCACAAGGACCTTGTAGCCAGTGGACCAAATCCAAAGGTAACAGGCCACCAGGATCTGGATCGCTGCCAAAAGCAGGATCAGCTTTCCTAGCTGCCCATGGAAAGTAAAGATCTTCACACCTGATTGAAGCTTTGCGAGCTTTTGGAGGCCCATAGAGGCCTGGGTCAAGGTTAACAGAAGGACTCCATAACCCAGGAAGTCATGAATCACTCGCGGTGCCACCTTCCAGCTATGCTTGGCAAAGTCGTAGCCGAAGAATGTCGGAGTCTTTATGTGGGCCATGAAGATGGCTACATACCCACCAATTGCAAACAGAAGGGCGAGCACCATCAAGGCACGATGAACTGGCCGTTGTTGAGCCTTGTCTCCAATTGAGTCTGTCACATAAGCCCATCGGCCTAGTACCATGAAGCAGGAAAATGCTAGTGACATCAGAATGGGATGCCAAGTGAAGCTTTTGCTCAAATCGTCGGCTTTGCTTATCATTCCAATGGACACAGCCACTGGTGTAGCAAAGGCCACTATGAAGAAGAGTGCATCCACGGCAAGCCCCATTTCTGCCCACCGTTCCTGGGCGCTGTCTACACTCGCAAAAAGTGAGCTCTTTGTGCAACGGGATATGCATTGTGCAAAATGGGATATGCATGTTCACAGTAGAAAGAGAAGGCATATAAAGAATATATAAGTGAATACACATAGATGCCGGAGACAACCACTACAGTACCAGTAGTTCAAAATGTCGAGCACAAACTTGTGGCCGGGGGTTGGTGACGAAAGCTAGCATGGCTCGGAAACGGGATGTGGCGAGAGGCATTGGAGAGGGCAATTCTACATTTTTGTTATGGAAGGTCTCTGGTTGCCAAATGACCTAGTGGATTGTCCTCTCCGATGCCTTGATCGGGGGAAGTTGAACCCGCCGGGCGGGGTGGGGGTGGGGGGGTCTACACATGAATTATTCCAGCCAATGACTTGCTAAAGCAAGAGTAACTCCAGCTAGCTGACGCTAGCTTTCGTGACAAACGAGAAGATGGCTGTAAGTGGCAAGGTTGACGGTTGACCTGACTGAACGAGGGCCAATTCATCAAGTGCGCAGGCTCAACCGTGTCTCTCACCTTGTCCAGGGTTTCACACATCTCTTCCAGAGAAGGAGAGAAGGGCATGGGCTGGGTATGTTTCGTTCTTGTTCACGGTGGGAAACCCTTTTTGGTAGTTCCTTGAATCGTTGCAGGATGCTGAGATGATATCAGCACACCAAGTGATTCCAACAAGTCACCATCCTCTGGCTCACTTGTTGGAATGGCGATTACTGCCACCACTTACTTGTTGGAATGGATTACAACCCGATCCTCTTTCTTGCTCACAAGAGCAATTCCGCAAAACGATTACTGCCCCATATTGGAGGTGCAGCCTCAACCACTTCAACCTTAAGAAGAAGCACCTTCGGCAGATGGTCTGGCTCTTTTCAAGGAATGAGAACAAAACAAAGACACGCAAACTCCATCAACCGTGAAGCAGCTGCAAGGAAGAAAAGAATGTGCGGCATAGAAGTAGAAACGACCTGCAAACTGATACTGATAGCAAAGCATCCTGTTATAATGTTGTCCGCAATTGAACATGACATGCGTGCAAGCAGTGTGGCCTGAGAAGGATGAACTGTGGTGAAATAAAGGACACTCAGCAAGTTCCAGCAAAGAGAGGGAGAACGAACCAACCACATGACCAGCTTGCAGGTATGCAGGGAGACACAAGTGCGCTGTATCCGTTCGCTGGCTTGCTCTGCATGAGTTGGTTTGGTTTATTTGTTTAATTCGACATGTACAATGTAGATCACTGGAGAAAAAGTCTGCAAATACATCAAAGAACTTCGCTTGGAAACCCACAAGCGCACAAAGTACTTCCAGTACCCTCTTCAAAGCTGAACATGACCTGAGGGACTGTCAAACAGGCGCGCAGCTCTGAGGCCCCAAGAGGTCCTGGCAAGGAAAAGCAAATGCTGGTCATAGAGGATTCAGTCAGCATGTTGGCATGTTGCGCAACTGAACACGAAGCATGTTGCAGCCTTGAAAAGTGAGCTTCTCTAGCCCGATCTGTGCAAGTAACTGTTCAGCTTGAGCCCAAAACGGACACTCTTGAGCTGATTGAAGCACATGGTGCCATGGTGCAGTGCCAAATGCTAGGGCAGCACAAATCATTTTTTCGCTAAAGCAGTGCGATGGCACCACCAAAGATCACACCATTCCACCCCACATGCGTTGCTCCTGCAAATGCAGCACCAAAAAATTAAGGCTTCAATGGCATTCAATGGCTTCATTGAAGGACGACAAAAATAAGGCATCCAAATGGCTTCATTGAGTCCTCCGCGTAGGCCGCAATAGCAGCTTCAGCCTCCACTGGACAACACTCTCAAACAAACGACAACATGTTTTGCCCGCTCTTACTCAAGTAAGTTGACTCCGTTCGTGTGGGTTCCGGTCTGCTGGGGTCGGGTCCGCTGCGCAGTAGGTAATGAAGTAAGGGAGTGAGCTCACAAACTGGTACGCTCCTAGCTACTGGGCCGCAGGATAGCACACGCACTAATGATTTTGGGTTCCTAGATTCTTAGGGAAACTTGACCTAGAACCGACAACAGATTCTTCGGATGAGGCCTCCTCACCCGAGTCTTCGCCAAGGCGTTTGATGTAGACTCTTGGACTTTGCAAAGAAGGAGGCAATGACTTTGCCTCGCAGGCTTCGTTTCATCAAAATCTTGCTTAAGCTGCTTCCCTTTGCAAAGACATTGGTGAATTTTCAAGGCGCGTGCTTTATCGTTGGAAGATGGCGAGACAAAGCCACGCTCAGCAAACCAGGCATTGCGCTCGGGGTCCTGCTACAGATTCAAACAATGTCACAATCAACCCGTCAAACCCGCAGGATCAATATGAACGGCCTGTGGCAATGTTGAAATTCAAGAGACCCAGGGAAGCCCAATGAAAGGGTATTCAAAGGATTCAAGAACAAGGTACGTGATTCCCGGAAGAAAAAGACATTCACGAGCACAGCTGCACAGCTGTCCTCTGACTCAAGAACTACGAGGAGCTGCGCCCCGCCGAGAACAGCAGCGCGCTCAGCGTAGGCGAATAAAGCCGGAGCGTTGGGCAAAAAGGTCTCAGAGAAATGGGAGTGACAAAACACTATCTCCAGGTGTTACAAAAATGTGCAAAAAACACAACCTCCAGGTGTGACATGAGATAAATGATAAGTCCCCGTCTCCAGCTGCGCAGCACAACTGTCGAAGTTCTGCCACCAACTGCCAGGGGTCGTCGCTCCCGCATGTCGTCGCTCTCCCGACCCAACGTTCGCCCCTTCAGCGTCGACCCTTTGCAACCCTTCGCTGAAGAACGACCCGGAGAAAGGCGGGTGGAAGGATTGACGTCACCAGATGGGACGAAATCGGACGGAGATGGAGCTCATGGCCATCACTCCACGGTCCGTTCGTTTCCACACTAAAACACTGCGCCCCGGCCTCGCCCGCATTTTGGGACACACTGTGGGCCACAAGCTGACCACAGCCCAAAACAACCTGCCCGTGGGCTGCAGACCACAGAAACATCCTGTCCGAACTTGCTAGGGCGAACTGGCAAGCCTCCCGCAACACTATCTCAGTTCACAAACCGTGGTGCAAATTTGCAAACCGTCCTACAAAAGGTCTTTAAGGTGATGGTATGCAATTTGTGCGGAGCGTCCAAGACGGGGCACCTCGTCTCTTCGCCAAACGAAGAATTCACCTGATGCGCAGCTTGCCTGAGCCCAGTCATGCTCAAGGTGAGGAAAGTGTCCCCAACGGCAGGAATGTTCACATGTCTCCAAGTGCAGCGTGGTGCTTTGCAAGTTCGATCTGAAACGGTTTCCGGCAAGGCACAGAATAAGGCAGTTTGTTCCACATGAATCCGCCCACACCGCTTGTCGGTGCAGGGCGTGCTATGGGGCTCTCTAAGCTCTGCTGCTATGCAAATAGCTTTGCTAGGGAGGGGCCCTTTCTTTTCGCGCATGCGCGGCTATGGTTGGGCTGCAGGGCCACTGGGGAGAGCGTTTTGGAGGTACATTTTTGGATGTTTTTTCGTTACGTCATGCTTGCAGGGCCACTGGAGGGAGCGTTTTGGAGGAGTTTTTGTGTTTTGGGGTGGTTGCTGCATTGATTCTTGCTCGGCCTGCAGGGCCACTGGGGAGAGCGTTTTGGAGGTGTATTTTTGGATGGCTTTTGGCAACACCGAAGTTGTATCACCATTATGGGCTCCAAGGTAGACGAAGTTGGCCCCAAGATGGCTCCAGACGCAGCCCAACCTGGCGCCTTTTTTTCGCGCGTGCGTGGCTGTGGTTGAGCTGCAGGGCCACTGGGGAGAGCGTGTTGGAGGTACATTTTTGTATGATTTTTCGTAACGTTGTGCTTGCAGGGCCACTGGGGAGAGCGTTTTGGAGGAGTTTCTGTGTTTTGGGAGTTGTTTTGGCGGTTGTCCGCCCACACCGCTTGTCGGGGCAGGGCGTGCGTGGGGCTCTAAGGTCTGCTGCTATGCAAATAGCTTTGCTAGGTGGGGGCCTTTCTTTTCGCGCGCGCGCGCGCGCGCGGCTATGGTTGGGCTGCAGGGCCCCTGGGGAGAGCATTATGGAGGTACATCGTTGGATGATTTTCGTTACGTCATGCTTGCAGGGCCACTGGAGGGAGCGTTCTGGAGGAGTTTTTGTGTTTTGGGGTTGGTTGCTGCGTTGATTCTTGCTCGGCCTGCAGGGCCACTGGGGAGAGTGTTTTGGAGGTGTATTTTTGGATGGCGGCTTTTGGCAATACCGAAGTTGTATCCACCATTATGAGCTCCATGGTAGACGAAGTTGGCCCCAAGATGGCTCCAACGCAGCACTTGTCCCCAACCTGGCGCCTAGATGGCTACTTCCATTTCACTAACTTCCGCTGTTCGTGCGCGGTGACGCGAAGCGTCTTGAATATCTATAGTATGTAACATTCATATACATTTGAGTGAGCAACAAAGAAAAGAGGCTCGCTCCTTTCAATTCCTGAGCCACTATGTTGCAGTCGTGTTTCATCTGTACACTTCTCTGTACTTGTGCGTGTGTGAAGCCCTTGGAGTCACAGGGATTCCTTTGAATTTGTTTTCTTTTAGCAGGGGGACCATCCATGTGCTGTGAGCGATGGTCCAATGAAGCGGCCACAGTACATGCGGATATCACGCTAAACCACCACGACGTACCTGCTAATTTGAACGGTTGTCCAAGCGTTTACTCCAAATTTCCAGTAAAGGGCGTTCGGCAGATGTGCACGGTCGTCGTCACCTGTCGCTTCGCGTTCGTCGGTTATGAACTTTGAGATTTGGGCCTCTCTCTTTCCTTGGTTGGACCTCCAGAAAACTACTTTCTCAGGATTATGGTTAGCTAGGTTGGCGTGTGGCAAACTGCAATCGAGTCACTACACAATTTCTCGAGTGTGTGTGTGTGTGTCCTCCTTACGCAGGGGTCACTCTGCTGAAATGTGACACTTCGCCTCGGAAATCGTGGTTTCGCAGCAGGTTGTTTTAGACAAAAGCTGCCGTTTCATGAACTCGAGCTACTCAAATGGTGGCGTCACTGACTTCGTCAAGCCCTGAACTTTGGCGGCGTCGCCTCCTTGTTAGAGGGGTCTCACATTCAACTTCTTCCATCACTGCGTCAGCTCCAGCTGCTCTTGAACTGGGTCCAGCTGATGTGTCCTCAGCTGCCATCTGCAACCTGTCCATCTGCTTCATTGTCTCCATCACCTCTTGCGCATCTTCTCTCTGCGCTTCTCTCACCGGCAGAGCAGCGGCAATGATGCGAAGAGATTCGCACGCATCCTCCTCGCTGTTCAGCGCCAAGGATTCGATCTTGCTGCTAGCTCCATGTGGTCCGGCGCTGTGATGTTTGCCTGTCCATGGTCGTCGATGAACTCAAGCGTTGCTCCACTCCCTTGCCAACAGTGTTTTGCTTTGGCCGCCAGGTGTAGTAGGTGAAAAGGTCTCTTGAGTCCCTTCATCGCTCGCCACCATTCTAGGTCGTTGAAACCATCACCTCTTAAACCGCCAATCTTTCAACAATTCTGGCGTCACGGAACAATGCTGTTGACTCCAGCTTGAGATCTCGAATGATTGAACATTGCTTCAGCCTTTCCGGTTCCTCTAACAAGGTGATCTGGCCCCAGACATCCAACTCCTCCAGCGTCAAGTCTGGTGGCCCTGCTCCTTCATGGAAGCTGCAAATCTGCGGTCCATGGAGTTGAGCTTTCCGTGGCCAATCCAACCAGGCGCGCATGCTTGTCCATGATGTTTAAGGCCACCTACGAACGTGGTCGAGAGCCATACTATAGCATGGGCTCCGCCACCATGACAAAGAAAGGAGGCTCGCTTCCTGAGCCACTAAGTTGCAGTCGTGTTTCATCTGTACACTTCTAAAATGCGACCATGAGACATTCGGCGCTGGGTTACCAGAACCGCTCTCTACGAAATAAACATTACCCTGTGCGTCGTGGAGAATATATGGCTTCTGGCGAAACACAGGACAATGCTTTGCGCGGACCTCCTCCTGCTCTTGTCTTCTCTCGCTGTTGGAAAGGAATGGAATAAACCAAACATCCCCAAAAGCAACCTTGCCGTGGAGAATTGCCCCGATCCGAATGGGCCGCTCTATGGGACCACAGCCCTGCAGGACGCGGTGCCTTATCCTAACCCTTCATTATGGTAGCTTGTCCGGGACCTGGTTGAGGCTACGCTATGCCCATGGCATAGATGGCACTCATATGAAACGCCTCCACTTGTTCCAGCTTGAGGTGTTCATCTTGCGCGTCAGCAAGCAATTCCTTGGTTTTTGGTGTTTTGGCGCAAGCATGCAAATGGCTGAACTTGGGCCGCTGCCATGATGGATGTAGCATCTGCCAACGTTGCACAGCCAAGGCCCTGGTAAACGTCCTCCAACCCCGCAAATGGCATATGGTCATAGCGATCTACCGTTTCTTCATGGCATGCCTGGGCCACACAGGTACCGCTGCCATCAGTGGTGTAGAACCTCGTTCTTTTTGCAAGTCAAGGCATTTACACACCTAAAAATGGATTGAAAACCAACTACAGGGTGGCCCAAGAGCACATAGGCTGCAAGCCGCAAAGAGATGTAGGCCGTGGATGTTTTGTAGATGCATCATGTAGACTTCAACATTAAAGATCTACATTCGTCTACATACGTCAAGAACAGGCTCATATAATGAAGCTGGCGTTGAAGATAAATAATCACAAATGATGACAACATGACGACACGGTGATAAAAAACATGATCGTGACCACGACGGCGACGACGACGACGACGAGGACCACGATGATGGTGATGATGATGATGATGATGATGAGGTTTCACCAGCTGGAGCTGGAGGAGCCCACCGCTTCAGCACCACTTCACCACTGGGACCTGACAACCAAAAATATTCAGACCACTTTCGCTCACTTTCGTCTCCTTCCCAACAAGTCCCATCAGAGGCGGCATACCTTTCTCCGGCCGAGACATGAACTGATACGTCTGCACTCTAACAACGCAACCACGAGGCGACGACAGCTTCAAACTCGGTGATATCTCTTTCTTGCAACGTCTGCCAAAATTATCCAAAGAAGGCCTTAGGTTGCGTGAAGGACTGGGTCATTTGGCGCGCAGAAAATGCGGAATCATGTTGAAAAGTTGGGCGGTATCCGTGTTCAACCAAGCAAGAATGTGTGTAGAATCCGTCAATATCTAGAATCTATACATATCTATACGTTTGCTTCCGCGAACGTCTTCTACATTTGCGAAAGCTTGTGCGACATCTTCATGTCGAGGCAAGTGTTTCAAGCTTTCCTGTGAAGAATTCTGCCGACAATGTTACCCCATTCTTGACGTTTCTGCTCAAGATCCTCAGTCCAAGCGGTTAACTCACGTATAGAACTGTGCGTCCCAGGCCGCAATGGGGAGCCAAGCCGCGATGGCAAGGTTTTGTTTCAATGAGAAACTGTTCGCGACCAACGCAACAGTTCTTGTGTCAGGCGACTGAGGCGCCAACAGGCCTCAATACCTCCACAGCCGCAAAGGCATTTGGGGGACACGTGGGCGCGCTTGCTGCGTGATTCATCTTGCCCGGCCATCGCGTCGAGGGCGTGACCAGAACATCACGGTCAGCATATGCGCCGCTGGCCACTGGGGAGGCACTTTGCTGCCTTGAACTAAAAACCTCCAAGCCCAATCGCTTTCTCCCTATACGGGAAAGCATTCGCAAAGCCAATCATCTGGGGCTGTTGGTCTCCGTGCCTTTCTTGCTCTCCCTTTCACCTTTCTCGGGGCGACTCTTCTTTACTCCACCTCCTTCTGGAGGGTGCCCAGGCTTCTTTGCAGGAGCTGGCTCTGAACCCTCACCACTTGCTTTTCCTTCTTCTTCTTCTTCTTCTTCTTCTTCTTCTTTTTCTTCTTCTTCTTCTTCACCGTCTCCTCCGCCAACCTCTTGCGTTTCTCCTCATCTCTCATAAAACGAAACCCGACTCCTTCCGCTTCAGCTTCAGCCAGTTCCGTTCCATCTCTTTCCTTTAAACCCCTCTCCTCCATTGATTCCACATCCTCTTCACTAATTGCCTCTTCATCTTCGTCAGATTCAAATCCCTTCGTCAGATTCAAACCCCTTCAAGGCCGGCCACCTACTGATTTCTCCGGCCACTTTCTTTAGACCCTTCTTCGCGAACTGGCATCGAAGCCCCCGGGCCCACACTTCTCATCGCTTCTTTCCCGCTCCTTCCGTGAACCACCGGTCTAAATGCTCTTCATCGCAGTCAGCCAATGTACTCTGCTCGACTGATCTCGTGTCCACTACTTTTCCCGTCGATTTCCTTGATCCGGTAACGTCGCTCCCTGGAACTTTTCCATCATCTCCACAGATACCCACCCCCAAAAAGTGTCGTCTTCAAGTTGAAGCAATGATGTTCAAGGGCCCCCATATTTGGTCCACCTCCCTGGCATCACCCATGGAGGGGTCAATCACTTGTGTAACCTTTTAGCCCCAATTGCTACCGCTGCAAGTATGGCTTGCGCTAAACTCTCGTACGCACCACGCCTTACTTCGTTGCTAAACTCAAGCGCAATGTAACTGATAGCCAAAGCAAGGAGAAGTTTTGTGGCTCCTGCTACCTTTCGTGATGATGGTGATGGTGATGGTGATTAGAAATAGAATAGCTAAGATGAGGTGAAGACAAGATGTTGCAGTCTATGTTGGCTCTTCTCTTTGCGGAGAAAACATGTCTTGTAGCAGTGCCAAAATGCAAAGAACCTCGTGTTTTCCCAACTCTGAAGATGATGCTCTTGCAGCAGTGATCCAGGAAATGCTTGGACGAGATGTCCCCGACCTGAGCTTGGTCATTTGTGGTAGGTAGATCACCAATTCCAAGCATAAGGTACGGGCGAACTCCTTTGGGTGACACCTCAGGCGATCGGGAGATCATGGGTCATCAGTCATCCTGGATCATCATGGGTCACTCGTCCCCTCGGTCAGTCATTCAGTCAGTCGGTCAGGTCAGGTCAGGTCAGGTCAGGTCAGGTCAGTTCGGTCAGGTCAGGTCAGGTCAGGTCAGTTCGGTCAGGTCAGGTCAGGTCAGGTCAGGTTCAGTTCAGTTCAGTTCAGTTCAGTTCAGTTCAGTTCAGTCAGTCAGCACTTCCATGAATTGAGGCTCTTGCCGAAGCGACCAAAAGCCTGTCACATCAAAGGCATCGGGCACAAAACAATTCGCCACAGCCACTTACGCTCCGCTGGAACCATGCTCCGCTGTTTGCTCAGAGAAACGACTTTTGGGTTCCCACTTCTTGAACCTTCTGGAGTACACAAAGTCCAAACGCAACTGAAAGGGCGATGAGAGGGAATTTAGTCAGAGTTGGCTCGTTAACAAAGGAACGAAGCACATCTACGTAAAAACGGAAAATGATTGTCGCCAATGCCAGCATCAGCGATCGACAGCGATCGCAGCCTGAGACTGCGCACAAAGTTGCTGAACCAATCCGATCGTCTTTCCTGCGCTCGACACGCACGTCCAAGCGCAGCGCGGTTGGCACTCGGGTGACCGTCCCAAAACGAGCACGGAAACAGCTATGGCCAAAGGAAGTCAAGATAGTAAAGTCCCAATACCGATGGGACCGATGGGACAATAGGCTGTGCCGCTGTGCCTCCTCCGAGTAGTTTTGGTTGGCTTTGTCACTTTCCAAATACTGCAGTAGATTGCGAGCATCATGAGCTTGCATGCCTGTCATCCGGAATCTCAAGAACTAAGCGCTATGATGTCATGCGCTTGCCAGCCAAAGCCACTAGGTTCGATTCTGAGGAATGCTGGCTCCATTTTTGCTCCCGAAAGGCATGCCCAAACAAGCGTGCCGCCATCACGGCCCTAGCATCAATCCGTCAGTTTCACATCTTTGATACATTGTCGCTGCAAAGTCTTTGACACGTCCAAGTTCAAGGATTGATGCAAACCTAGGTCACCAGTAGGCTGCTGGGCAGCCGGTGAATACATACTCCTGAAAAGTTGAAAACCCACCAGAGGGGATAGGGTTAATCGTCAACGCGGCTGACTCTGGTAGCAGGGAATGCCCCTGTCAAGTCTATACTAACAAGTTCCCCTTGGGGGAACTCGTCAACACTTGCATTATCTACGGAAGGCTCCGGTGCCTCATATCCTTCCTTTTCCGGCCTCCCCACTGTTGTGGCCATCACCTGCCGATCAGCCACACTGGGAACTTCAGCGCACGTCAGTTCCGTTGGTTCAATCCGGGGCCTCTTGAGCAGGCGCTGCGGAAGCCTGTGCCGCCTCAGCTAGGGAATCGGGCTGCCCTTCCAGATCGCGTTCCTCAAACTCCTCGGCGCAAAAAGGAAACAGGCTCGTTGTCACAAGGTCGACTCTCTACAAAGTCCAGGCCTCCTGTGGCTGGTCATCCAACTTTGGGTTGTATTCTTGGATTCTCCACCTGATGCATTATGTCATTGTCATAACTTGACGCACAGCACGGCGCCAGCCTGTTCGCAACAACATCTCTAACGTAGCGTTGGTTGAGCCAAAAGCCATAGATCCTGAGTTCGACTTAAGTACAGACCTAGAGGCAAATCAACGTCCCTTGTGATTCTTTGAAGATATGAATGTGTATGCTACACATTGATGACCAGCACCATGTGCTGCACTCACCCAGTGATCATACGTTGGCCTTCTGAGCTTCCCACACGTTGACCAGAATCGTCCAAAACATCACGAACATCCCAATGAAAAGCAGTGCCACAGCAGCGGCCTTAGTCAGTCTTGAAACAAGAGCTGCCTGGGAAGAGGAAACATAAGCCAGGGACCATAAAGCAACCGATAACAACGACCATGCAAGGATTGTCTCCTCATCACACAAGCAAGCAGCCCACGCCAAAGAAACCAGAAACGGGAAGTAGTGGCAATCGTGTGCGGTGGGATGCCAAGCACCAACCAGATTGCAACACATCTGGCACAGATAAATAGAGCAGTTTCACAAATGCAGTGCATGAATGTATATGATATGCTTCTAGCTAGCCCTCTAAGGATATGGCTGAAGCACCTCATTTTGCTGCTGGTGCAAGTGATGCTAAATGGAGACATTGCAGTACTGGAACCACAGAAGTAAAACACAGCAGCGCCAAACTCACAAGTGTCCAAGAAAATGAAGCACAATTGTTCTGAGCCTAACAATTCAAAAAGGGCGCTCAAAAAGTAGAATTGGCCATAGAAATCCAGTGAGTCTGGAGGAAACAGCATGTCTGCCATCTGTGCTACTGAGTACTGGCACTGTTTCACACCTGTCATTCGAACATGTGGCTTCATGTGGTGGGGAGGCACAACGTATTGAGGGTCATTGTGATGAGTCCATTCGCGTACCATAGGGATTGCGATGCACTGGGTGGTCACATGGAGCTTTCCTGCACAACAATTCAGCTTTTCTGACAAAGGCACTTGGGAAGCTAGCACACCTCCCACTTCTCCCCCTACCAGCAACATGCTACAACCTTCCATTGCATCAGTAACAGTGCTTGTACATCTTGTTTGTTCACACCGCAATTGTCTTTTGATGAGGGAAGGTGTCAAAGCGTTCCAGTTTTAGCCGCAGCGTTCCAGTTGCAGCCGAAGCATCTTGGGTGCCTTCAGATCCCAGTGCTTCACTTTTTTCCAATTCGTTTTGACACAGTCCTTCTATTGTTGTTATAGTTGCTGCTTCAATCCTCTTCCTCAGACCTTTCCAGGTTGAGGCTTAGAGCTCTTTAATGGATCCGAGTTCACGACCTGCTTAAAAGGTACTCGATATCCGATCAAAAAACGTGTCTTCCTCAACAAGCCTCATTGTCACCCTCAAGTTGTCAGTACTTCAAGATTTGATCAATTTTTCACCCGCAAGCTAGTGCGGGTATTTGGGAGGGTGAACAACAACCGGGGTCCAAAGCAAACACAAAGCCTCTATCTTGCACAAGCTCGACATAAAATACCTAGCTAATTGATTTGCTTTGCTTTGCTTGAAGAACTCTCCTCCACATTCTCCACCACCACAGTCACAGCTTGGCATGTCTACAGGGGCGAAGCATCTCACTGATGCATCTTCACATATCTCTCATGTCTATCCATCTCTGTGACCAAAAACGATTCTCTCATCCTCAGCTGTATAGTATACCCATGTTCATCTGGAATCTACAAGCTATGTGTATACGTGTCTACCATCTATCTCCAAGTCTCTCTCAGCTTTATAGAAGCAAGTCACCTTCCAACAAGTCTACGGGCCCCTGCCTGTGCAGCCATCACCACAATTCATACATTCACAGCATTGAGTGCATTGCGCATCGAACGACCCAAAACAAGCCTTAGCAAAAGCAGGTGGCCCAGTCTCCACACTGAAAATGGACCGGACAAAATGTCCCTCGATGTGAACTCGTGCACAGAACAATCCCGAAAATGACACGAAGCAAGCCTCGCATGGCATACAGTAGCAATCAGGGCCCACCAAGTAGCAATACCTCAAGTGGGCTGGTGGATTGCCAAAACTGCTAAAATCAACCACCACCTCCCCAATCACAACTCTTCGAGCTCTCTCGAAATCACGTGGCGCATGTCAAGAACGACACCTTGGAGGAAGGTCAATCACAGTTTCTGAAACCATGGTCTATGTTTCGGAAACTAGGCATACTTCGGGACACATGTTTCTGAAACTATGGTTCGGAAACAGCCTATGTTTTGGAACTGTTTGGAATATGTTGCAAACTACCTATGTTTTCTGAAACCATGCTTCGGAAACTCTATGGTTTTCAGCACCACCTGACCCCCTCTCCAACAAGCGTCTGCACGAAGTTAGATACTGCTGCAATCACAAAGATCGTCATCAGGTTGGCCCCAACCCCTCCCCACCGAACCCCATCCCCAAGCCAGTAAGTGTCTAAAAGTTACATACTGTTGCAATTGTCGTTGTTGACAGGCATTGTAGTTTCAGAAGCATGGTGTCTGAAGCGTGATTTCTGAAAGGTTTCTGACACGTGGTTCCTGAAACGCAAAGAGTTCTGCAATGTAGTTTCTGAAACGCCATATAGATTCTGCACCGTGGTTGCTGAAACAAGGTTTCTGAAACGCGCATAGTTACTGAAACGGTATGAAACGGTCGTACTTTCGGAAACGGAGTTTAATCCTAGAGGAAGTGCGAAGTTGTTCAGGAATCTGCTGAGGTGCACAAGGCAACTGTCATCAGAGCCATGGCAGCAATCTCTCATGCAGTCTCGACTCCTGCACCAAAAAGGCTTGGGCTGATTGAATTACTGATTCACTGAATCATCACGAAGCTGACCTTGTCCGGTTCTGTCGCGCTGACAGTGTCCACGTCGTGGTATTGGCGCCAAATCCAGATCGTCGTTGAGTCGTGTGTCTGGCCTGAGAAGCGACAAAACAACCCAACAAGGCCACAACAACGTCACCTTGCAGGCGCTTCCCAAGAATCTTGGGATCGCTTCCCTCGTCTGCCGTTTTTGAGGGCCCAAGCAAGTCGGCGATACCTTCCAAAGTCACAGGAAGGTAAAAGTGGCCGAAGCAGCGAACCAACAGCGGTGTCCAACTGGGCCTTCCCCTCAGCCATTGAACAATGATGAATATCGTGGATGCCACTCCGATGATGAAGCATTCAAAGCATACGCCAAGGAAGAACCAGCCACGGTCAGTATCCTCAAACATTGCAATGGATGCAGAGCTGATGAACATGGACTTGCATGACTGTGAGTCCAACCAACACACTCGTGCGCTCTGGGACTTCATATGGGAAGCTCAGGTTGAAGCAGGCTTCATGAAACTGAGCCTGCAAGTGGGAAGGCTGGAAGCTGGAACTCATAACACAACCACCGTCTGGGACTTTCATGGTCAAATGCCTGTGTGGTCAATCAAGATCAGACCCCCTCATGTGGCAAGCAACCGTCACAACGCACACCTCACCTTCCCCAATCCACCACCTCCACTATGTTGGTTGCACGAACGATTGCGCCCAACGCAGCTCCGATGGCAAAGAACAATATAATCCTGAGCCAAAAAATGAAAACCTACAAACCATCCAAGTGGACACATACGCACACACACACACACCACTGTGGCGCGTTAAAGAGTACAACATATGGCTTGTACCGGCATGCGTGAGAAGACAAACCTCCATGGATGCAAAAAAGTCTGAACATGTCCTCCACTACCGCATGCCGTGCCAGGAATTGACCGTGTGAGTGTGAGTGTGCAAAAAAGAATATACAGAATAGACACCTTTTAAGAAAATAGAAGTGTCCCAAGCATGTGTTGGCGGTGTGGACTCTTGCCTTGCTTTTCACCGGCTCGAACACCTCAAAGGTCACTACTCCTTCCCAGATTTTTTTGCATGTGTTTCCGAATGCAAGTGTCGGTTTCGGTGCTTGGGTTGTCATTGCTGGCAGAAACCCCACCATAGCCTTTTACTGCCCATGGCCTGTGCTTTTTGCTTCAGTACACTTGTCCATTGGCTTTGCCAAAAGAAGTGGCACAGTTTGTGCGGTAAAAGTCATGGATTGAATAAGAGCTTGGAAGGTATCCTTTCGGGATGGCAGCACTTCTCAGGATCGCGTGTATGCCTATGCCCGGGAAAATGTATTGACATGAAAAAGAAGGACCGCATTGATACCAGCAAAAGCAGAGGCTCATCAAAACACGGAGCTGCACCCAACCGATTGCTCGAGCAAAGAGCCCATTTTTGGATGTGTGTTGCATGTGCAGGCACCATATGAACCAAAGTACTGGTTTGCTTACATGTGCATGCAATCGTGCCACAAATCTTTGAAATGGAACAGGATAGGAGTGAAAACAATTGCAGTAAATCGATGCACTTACTAATGGCATGCCAAGCATCTGCACGATTGCGATCACATAGAAGATCGTGTGAATACGCCAAGGCTTAATGCCTTGACCCAGCTGGTAGTGGTAGTGACCTCAGAAAAAAAAATATATATATATATATACATATATATATATATTTATATATATATAATCTTACTAGGAAAAAGAAGCTACTAGGTGGAGGCCATCGCTATTAGGTTGGTGGCCATCGCTACTAGGAACAAGAAGCTACTAGTAACAAGGGCATTACTACAAGTAGCAAGACGCTACTCAGACAAATATGATCTGATAAGAGATTGCACCGGCTTCTGCGCAAAAGAATGTGGACTAAGTATTGAGCAGACTTCACCTTGGATGTGAACCGGTAGAAGCATAGCACCAAAAAAACAACATGAGTGGTACCAGTGGCAAGGGGGAAAGCAAAAAGGCTGCATCAAACTCCGTGAACAAGGACCCTTTCTGCCTGGCAGACTCTATGTTGACTTGGCAATTCTTGTCTGATGGCTCAAACAGCTTGCTTAGGTAAATATGCAATGCGGCACACTTCTGTTGCGAAGTTGTTCATCGACATTGGCAATTACTGATTAACCAGCTATTGCTGCAAATGCCGCATCCCAGACTTGCTGGGAAGGGCTTGGATTTGTCTGGACGATATCAATGCCAATGCTGGTCGAAATAAGCTGTCACAATTTCCCGTGAATATGTTACCATGAAAATGTCCAACTTCAATGGCTATAGTAGCTGCTTTGGACCAGGAGCACATAAATTGGTATTCGCAGAGATTAAGCTCACCACAATGGAGGAAAGGGGTGTCAAAAGGAGAATCATTGCAAGGTCCTGTCAGGGCCTGCTAACAAGAAACCAAGTCAATCTAAAGTACAACATTCGAAAAGAATGGCCACAACAATAAGCTTCTGCCCTCTCTTCTACTTGCTGCAAAAATGGCAGCAGTGGCAGAACAAAACAATCGCAAAGGAAGCAGGAGCCACCGCCCAAGGGCAGCGTCATTCATAGGCCAATCCTTGAGCCAAGAGTTGGGTGCCAAGTCGCAGCGAGTCAGGTTCGCTGGGTTCATTCCAGCAGCTCTCCAAGAATCCAAGCCTCGTAAAGAAAATCGATTTCAAGTCGAATGAATGAGGAAAGCCCTGAAAACATTCATTTGATTCAGCAAAATTCCATTCTCCCGGCCAAGCTTGGCTTGCTAAGAAGTCCGCAATCCCTGTGAACCACAGATCTACACCGGCAAGGGCGGAAAAGTTCCTGAAAAGGACGTCCCAGGTCTCCACTTTGGGACGTCGCAAATGCGATGAGAAACATAGGAGCGTTCGGACGCTACTAGGGGCTCCTGGCCCTACTACTAGGAACAAGAAGCTACTAGGAACAAAGGGCATCGCTACTAGGAGCAAGAACGCTACTAGGGGCTCACCCACAGAAGATGGATAACTCCTCCTGAGACTCATGTTCATCTTCGCGCGATTCGAGGCAAATACGGCAGATACCATCACTGATATCCGCCATCCTTGGTTGAAACAGCTGTGATGGCACAAAGAACTTGTATTCCTTCACGGCTGAGGCACTACAATGAAGGAGAACGACAAGGCAGGCCCATTTGGGCTTCAGCTTGAGCCAAGGCGACAAGGCAAGCGGGTGCAATAGGTGACCAAGTATGACCAAGTAAGAAACGGGCGACAAAAGGTAAGCTCTAAGCAACAAACAAAAGCTGATCACAATGTCTCTAGCATAGGCTTCCAAATTGCTGCAGTCCTTTCAAAAACTGCAATTTCGCACCTGCAATGATGCGTGACTGTCGAGTGTCCACCAGGCACTGGCCCTTGGTAATGTAAACCTCAGGACCACACTCTTCTGGTTGGATGTCTTCAGGGGCACAGAATTCGGTCACTAAGATGGATGCCAGCTTGATGGCCTGCAATCTGCTGGCCACTTTTGCAGCCAACCTAGGGGTCTTTTGCTGTCCAGTGTGATGCAAAAGACTCTTCAGTCTCTTCAGACTCAGTCACCGACTCTTCAGACGACACATAAAAGACTTCACCACCGGGGCTTGACCCCAAAGGAGTCATAGACACAATTGCGCCCTCCTTGCCACGTTGCAAACGTGCTTCTCGAATGTAACAAGGGCTGAGCAATTGTGCTGGAGCTGACTCACCAGAGTCGTGCTCGACTGTTGCGACTTGCGACGATGAGAAAACGTGCTGCAAACGTGGCTTCCGCGACAAGTCCAAGTTCGACACAAGACAGTTCCATTCTACACCACATCAAGCAAGCGTAAAGGGTCAAAAATATAGATATGCAAATAACAATCAAGAACGTCCCCTGGGAAAAGTGTGCAAGGGGTCCAAACCTCTCTCCCCGGTGTAGTGTAAGGGTTCATGGAATGGGACTGTGTGCACCGGGAAAATGTTCATTTCATGGCAGGTGAAGCACTTTGTGGTTCAGACTTTGTGCCAGGGCCAACACTTTGTAGACCACAAACTTCGGATTTTGTGGCAGCTGTAATCTGTCTAGTGCTTTATGGACCTGCAAAAGCTCAGATTGCGTAGGAAATGTAGCACTTTGTAGACATTGCAGGTTTCCTGACAGAGGCAGCGCTTTGTGAACCAAACAAGTCAGGTTTGGAGGCAGGCGCTGCACTTAGAACTTGAGGGTCAGGTGCCGTGGCAGGTGCAGGATCCTTTAGAGAGCTTCAACAATTATCCTCAGGAGATCTTGCACAAGGAGATTGTCTCAAGACATCTTGTGCGGAGGTCTTTATATATCTGAATATACTTCTTATATGAAACCTCGAAGGTACACCATCCTAGAATCAAAAACCTTGCCAAGATCTTGTGACAAGGGATCTTGTCCGAAGGCCTTAAAGGTCGTCAAAATGCTCACAGGGCTCTTCTTCTCTAGGGATCCTGAAGAAATCTGTTTTGCTGATGTTGCAAAGAGATCTTGCAAAGTGATCTTCAAAATGTGTTATGCTTCTTAACTTTGACCTTCTGCAGGAATCTTAAGAAGGACTGGAAGAGATCTCCTGAAAACGTTGGTTGTCTTTCCTATAATCTTGGTGCACTTTTATGCACAAATGCCTTCCTGTGTATACTCTTCCGCTGACGTCTCGTTCTTGTTTAAGTTCTTCTGACACAAATTCACTATTTCATTTTTTTGGCTGCAACTCTTGAGAATTGGTCCTTGAAGAATATCCTGCCTCCCTTCATGTGTCCAAGCGGATGGAGGGGATTCGGGGGAGGGTGCAGTGCCACCACCCAGCAAATCAGAGAAGCACTAGTGTGGTATATCTTGACTTCTGCGGAAGATGAATCGGTGACGTTTAAGAGGGCTTGGCTTGGCTGGCCTAACTCGTCTGGCTTGGCTGGCTTGGATTTGGCCTGAAAAAGCTCGAGGAGTCTGTTGGTGCATGAACTTGCCTGGTAGGTCTTGAAATCAATGGCAATGGCTTCGGCTTGGCAGATTTGGCTTTGGCTCGCAAAAAAATTTGCTGCTGTGATGCGTTTAGAAATGAATTGAGACGAAAAGCCCGACACTACCACGCCGTTTTGCGAGGTACACGGCTCATTTTGGAACCTAGAAACGGCTCATTTTGGAACCTGGCTCATTTTGGAACCCAGACGAAAAGAAAACTCACCGGGACTGCAGCGTGAGACCAATTTCGCGGCTCATTTTGGAACCTGCATCATTCGGTAGTGCTTCGAAGGTAGTATTTGCTAGTGAAAATGAGTGTTTCGTACGAGACTTCCTCCAAAAGTGAGCCGCGGAAGTCTCCAGAACGAGCGTTTTGTACGAGAC